GACCAATTTTTCTTTTTCTGATATTCATTATAGAACGCTAAAGTATGATTCTTGAAGTCTGACATGAATCCGATATCAAGTAAAAATTTCGGTAAAGATATAGTTACGGAAGTTAATTTCGAGCAATGAAACTTGAAATTCTCGGCAATACTTAAACTTAAATTCTGTTTTAAGATGTTAAACAAGTATGAAGCATTTCGCTCCCAAACTAATAAAAATGTTCATACCTATAATGCAAAAACATTCCTAATTTTACCGTTACGGTAGTTATTTTTTTTTAAGAGAGACAACTGTTTTTGTCTAAATCAGTTTGTTATGTCGAAATTGTAATGGTCTTAAGTAGCTGAGTGGCAACTAAAATCGATGATATTAGGTTTCATTGTCACTTTCAGATAACTTTCAGTTCTTCTTTTTTTTAAATCTGCATTCTTTGAGTTTTATTTTAACCAAAATAATTACTGAAGTTTATTGATTTTCAGCGACATTCTATGATTTCGTATGAAACAAGATTCATGCATTTCTTTGCGAGAAGTGGTTTGTTTTCTCTTTAAATAGGAAAAAAACTTTTTTCTTTTAATATGCATTGCAATCTACTGTATTTAGAAATTTGTAAATGAATGAAGCGACATTAAAATTTGCAGTGAAATATGCTTTCAACATTATTTTGTGTTCATATCAAAACTTTAAATGGATATATATACATTTACAAAACCATGTACGTGTGTTAATTCTTAGAGTTGAAATCGATCTTTAAAATTATAGTTAAGATATTACAATGGTGAATTTGTAAGCGACATAAAAAATTCTTAATTGGGCATGATTTTGTAGAATGAATGACTGTTCTTCATTAACGATTTTTATGAACATTAGTCTTTGAAGACCTGTTCGTCTAATAAAAGCAATTCCATTAGGCTTTTGTTATGACTCAAACCTTGACCGGCCTGCCTGTATGCTATTAAGAGGAAGAATTTATTTAGAAACTAGCACAAGTGAAGAAGAGCCTTCCTGTTGCTTCAAATTCGATATTTAGACACACTGAGGACTTTAATTTTTATCGATTAGAAATATCCCTTTTCATTCATATATCGGTTTGAAATATCCTAGTAACATATCCATATCCTAGTTAAATAAAATACACCGAAGGGATTCCTACATCTGTTCCATATTTGCAACAAGCAAAGTAATTTAAAGTACGCAAGAGTTTGTCAAAAATAAAGAAGTAAAACAAGTGGGGTTACACGTTTATAATTTCATCTTACATCTTATGCATATGAAGTATATTGATAGGGAAGCGATATAGAGACCAGATTACAGCAAAGTTTATTATCTAGGTATATTCAATGAAAAATTTAAGAAGTATATACACCGATATATTTACATGTATGATAAGTCTGAGAGGTAGAGTAATATTGATTGTCACGCAAAATTTTAAATACAAATAATGTGTCAATTTTGTTGTCGTAAGGGATGATAAGAGCCTTTGAAACAAGCAATGATTTTAGTGTAAAAACAATTTTAGGATGGACTTTACATGTATTATCTTTTCAATAAAAAATAACATCCGCATATTGATTGTGGAAATAAACATAATAAATAAATAATGAGACTCCCAATTGTGAATTACATAAGCTTTAAATCAGTGTATTTGAAGAATGATAGAAAGACATGATTAAAAAACGATATCAAGATAAAGGTCAAGCAGCTCAAGGAAGGTTTATTTATTCCAGCCATTACCTCAGGGAGCAGGAAAAGGCCACAATATATAAATTAACTATATATAAACATTATATAAATATATAAAAATTTTCTTTTCAAGAACAGCAAGGACACGTGTATATCAACTCATTAGGGATGTATTTTATATCGATGAAATAGGGGAAGATAACGAAACTAGGTCGACCTAAAATACCTACAAACAATTCAAATCAGTGTACAGATAAACACGGACCTCTAGAAATTCCACGGGTGTGATCATAGGTGTCAAGGAAAAGTGAGCATCCCCTATAGAGTAAATTTATATAGCTTCAAATACTAGTAACACTCCCTCAGACCAGGGTAAATAGGAGCACAGAAAAGGGATCAACATCTAACATGCGAATATAAGTGAATATGTACAAAATATTTGCTCTAAACGCATGACTTTATTTAATCTTTCAAAATGAATGCATAATCACGTACATGTAATGAATATAAATTTAATCTTGTTTAAATAATATTTTAATGAGCTAGAGTTTAAGCCACAGTAGCGAGTCTGCAACACAACAAGACTACGTGTGATTACAAATTTGGTCACACTATACATATACTATAGAAATTAATTAAATCGTGGTTGTTTTTTTTTTTTTTTTACGTTTTTGATTACATATTAAGAAGGTGTTATATTTCAACAGGATACTTTTTGAAGAGGCAAATATCAATATTCTTATCAAACAAACTGTGAATTTTTTCACGACTTCATTAATGCATTCTAGTAATTCATAATCTGTACACACCGTTTACGGTAGCTCAGTCGGTAGAGCGCTCGCTTCGTGATCGGGAGGTCGGGAGTTCAAATCTCGGCCGCGACTGATCTAAGTCGATAAAAAATGGGTAGCAACTGTTCCTTTGCCATGCGTTCAGAGCATTGAAGTGAAAGTTGCGGGTCCTTCGGATGAGACCTTAAAACCGATGCCCCGTGTCACGGCAGGCGTTGGCACGATAAACATCCCTCACTGCTTAATGGCCCTGAGTGCCGAGTAAAGGTCAAATTTAAAGCCCCTCACCGGTATATGATGACGTTTCTATATGAGTGAAAAATTCTCAAATGGGACGTAAAACAACATACAATCAATTAATCATAATATGTACATTATTTTCAATATTCATATCTAGTCTGGAACAGTGATTTTTTTTTTTTTTTGAGGGGGGGGGGGTCATCATCTTGATATTTTTTTATACCGATAAGTGATAATTTTATTATCATGTACGGATATCAATCCTTGTCTTTCTCTTCACCAATTACATTTATAAAGTATATAGAATGTATAGGTTTTGTCCATTTCCCAATTGTTGTTGGATTTATTCAATAAATATGCTTAAACCATTATAGCTTTCGATTATTGTGAAACACATTTTGTTTGGTGGGGAGTTTTCGTTGCAATAATTTTATCAAGAAACCAAAGAATTCATGTACTCCATGACATTTTAAAATTCGAACTACATATTGTTTTTCTCCTGCCCGCGAAATAAACTCCCCAAACACCATGCAAGATTTCATCAAACCACAAAAATTGGGCCCTGCCAAAATTTGAATTTTTCAGTAAAAAGTTTCTGTGATTCAAACCAATGAGCAATTTTTTGACGTCTATGATGATAATTTGTTCCTTTTAAAATATATGTATGAAACAAATTACTTTGTTTGACTCTCAAAGAGCATCCCCCAAACCTCCTACCCTGGGCCACAAATTTCTAAATTTTGGAAGAAGCATTCTTGCTTATTATAACCATGCACCGAGTATATTTGCTATATATACAAGGAGAGAATTTTCATAGAAGTAATAAATTTTCACTTTATACTCAATAGAGCCCTTCTCTTGCGCACAGGACCCCTGAACCAGGGGACAAGAAATTCACAATTTCGGAAGAGGTACCCTTGCTCATCACCATTACTATACACCTAATTTGTTTGCTTTATCCCATGAGCAAAGTTTTTCAAAGTAATAATTATTTCACAATTTTGGAAGAAACACCCTTGCTAAAAATAATCTGTTCATCTGCCAAATATACAGGGGCAGAAAAGACTTTTTAAATAATTGATGAATTTCATAATCATTAGACACCAGCTGCAGAACCCCTGACCCTGGGGTTGTGAATTTCAAAGTTGCTGTAGAGGGTTCGAAGCTTGATACAATTATGATAAAATTTTAACGGTTAGTCCCTACCAAAAATACTATAGTTAACTATTGTTTACAATAGTTTACTATTGTTTACTATAGTTTACTATTCTTAACTATAGTTTGCTATTGTTTACTATAGTTTACTATTGTTAACTATGGTTTACTATTGTTAACTATAGTTTACTATTGTTTACTATAGTTTATTATAGTTTACTATTGTTTACTATTGTTTACTATAGTTTACTATTATTATCTATAGTAAATTAAAGTGTAAAAGTGATCACTTTCGTGTCAAAGTGATCACAATAGTAAATCAAAGTTTTCAAAGTTAACACTATAGTGTCATAGTTATCATTATAGTAAATCAAAGTTTTCAAAGTGATCACTATAGTTTCATAGTGGTCCCTATAGTAAATCAAAGTTTTCAAAGTGATCACTATAGTGTCATAATTATTACTATAGTGATTCAAAGTTTTCAAAGTTGACACTTTAGTAAATCAAAGTTTTCACCGTAGGAAATCAAAGTTTTCATAGTGATCACTATAGTAAATCAAAGTTTTCATAGTGATCACTATAGTAAATCAAAGTGTCAAAGTTATCACTATAGTAAATCAAAGTGTCAAAGTTATCACTATAGTAAATCAAAGTGTCAAAGTTATCACTATAGTAAATCAAAGTTTTCATAGTGTCAAAGTTATCACTATAGTTAACCATAGTTAACTATAGTAAACTATAGTTAACTATAGTATTTTTTGTCAGGGGTGTCCAGATTTATAGAAGATTTTTTTTAGGATAGCACGTATTTTGGCGTGCTATCTTAGTACGAAGCAGTGACAATGAAACCTACAATTTTTGTACCCTTTGACCCATTTATACTTTATGACAAAATTGTTTCTATGGTTCAAGAGAAGAAGCAGAATGTTTTCGAAAGTTTACGACCGACGAATGACCAAGACGCACAATGGTAAACGAAAACAGAAAAGAACGGGTTGCTTGAGTGACTCGGGAAACTAAAAATACAATTGAATATAAAACTTAGGTAACCAGGTTATAAAAGAAAAATGACTTCATATATGCAAATATCTTAGTAATTTAATGATAAAAATGCAAAATAAAAGCCGAAGTTGTTCACATTAGTATGTTTATTTTTCTTTTAGATAAGAGTTAATAACCTTCACAGCTTCTTTGTTTCTCAAACATGGATAGAACACACCGTTCCATATCAACAGAGTTGTGAAGGATTTCACTCTTTTGTCCTTGCAACTGTCCAGAATTTTTGTTGGCCTTTGAGTCGGTTCACATGAATGTATTATTATCAGCATAATTTTTCCTTAAAAATAAAGACAATTGAACAAATAATTTGAAACCCATTTTAAAGAGAAATGTTCTTTACTACGAAAAAAAAATCATACCTTCATAAGAAATGTTTTCTAATGCCGTATCAACTTCGTCCTTTAATCGAGAGGAAGCGTAACAAACAACTAGCACTAATGAATCCAGTGGAGGAGAATCTTTTTGGTTGATGCATTCTAATGAGTAATTTGGATATTCCTTGGAGAAAAAGTTCTCAAACAAATGACTGGATTTCAGTGGGTGTTGTATGTAAAACACTTTTTCTGTAAGAAGAATTAATTAGCAGCAATTTGCAAAACCTATATTAACCTTTAGGTCATTTTCCCAAAGCATGATAATATCCAGATTTTATATTCCTTAAAAAAGTTAAATCCTACGTATGCAAATTCATTACAATTAATTCGTCTGGGTACCTCGCGCACAACTCTTACCAGTTTTTCTTTTCGACCATTTGGGACATATGTGCATAAAAGCTAATGCTCCAGAAACCATTATTACTGTGTTTTTTCCTACAAAACACACAGATAAAATGATCAAATAACACTCTGTTCTTGATTTTTTCTTTAAGTTATATTTACAGTACTTTCTTTCGTTTGTAGCACTGTCGCACCTCTTTGTACAATAAATCCCTTACAAACGAAAGAAAGTGTCTGTAAATGTCTTGTGTCATGGTCATTTGCATAGTCACTTCTCCAGCACCAATCTGCTAGGGGTGAAACGATACACCCCCTTCACGGTTCAATACGTATTGTATAATTTTGTCTCGGTTCGGTTAATTTCGATACGATACATTTTGATAGAAGGAAACAAATTCAACGTTGTTTTATGCTTTCTTTTTCTAAATCTGGTCACATATTTTACGAATTTTATTTGCAAATTGACCTGAAGAAATTGGTTAAAATTATTTGACTGTCAAAAATCATTTTACAAGCTATCAGTCATAAAAAATTTACATTTTCTATACTTATTTATACTGAGTAACGTGTTTTACAATATGCCAAACCTGACTGAGTAACGATCCCAACCGAAAATAAACCGAACCGAAAATTAGAGATTTTGCACCGTGTATCAAACCGAGAAAAAATACCGCGGTGAATCGATACCGCGGTGAACCGTTTCACTCCTACAATCTGCACGCGACATTACGTCACAGGCCTTGGTCCATCGTAAGTGTAAATGGTGTTCAAACAAAGCTGAAAGTACGAAGGAGATGGTGGCATTGAAAAATCAAGCGATGTAAAACGAGCGTGCAATTGTATTTGATGGATTAATTTAAGCAGTATGAGTTTTTCAAAAACCATAATATACACAGGCACAATACTGGAAACTTTGATTCCCCCGCACTTTGATCCGCTTCATTACTGTTACTAGGAATACGCTTGCATGTCCTGAGGAAATCTGAGTCAAGTATTGTAGCCACAAGTGTCAAAATTATGGAATGTAGTGTGAAAGAGTCCAAATACATGCATATACGAACATGTATCCGTTTGCATGTAACTCAAGCATAGGGACTTGAGACAATCTTAGCAAAATTGGCTATATAGTATAATAGTGGAGAAGGGACCTAACGAGCCGCCATTAATTCCTCGGTGGAGTTCGATGATTCCCTTAATAGCACCTGTTGAATGAAATCCGCACTGAATGACTAAAGTTCAAACGCTGATTGATTGTATTATATTACTAGTTGTTTACGGAATCAAATATGGCTGACCCGATTGAACTCTGAGGCTAATCGAAGGTGAAAATGGAGCTGATCTCTCGAGACGGACGATCATCGGTCCCTCAAATATTGTGAGGATGACCAAAAGCAGTTATATTTTTAAAGGTGCTCTAAGATAGAGTGCAACATATGACAAGTGCGGAAAAATTTAGGTAATGCACGAAAATTGCATGGAAAAAATGGTGTAGGGTTAACGACGGCGACCCAATTCTCGGAAGTTTGAATATTTTTTCTAAGTTTTAATTAAGTAAGGTAAATGATCAATTTATGACAATAAAGGACAACATTCTGCCTTTCGACTGGCAAAACTTTTTCATGGGTTTTTTGAATAAAAATCGAAGTTTTTAGAGTTTGAAGCAAGGCAGCGAGGAATTAATGGCGGCTCATTAGGTCCCTTCTTCCCTATTATACCATATACCCGATTTTGTTATGATTGTCCCAAGTCCCTGTGAACTCAAGGAACCCAGAAAACAGGTGCTATTAAGGGAATTATCGAACTGCACGTGTTTTCAATATTGTCACATTTCAATTATCTGTTTTAATTTGAATACATGAAAATCTGTGTATTTTTAAGAGTTTTCGTTTAAAGCAGTTAACCGAGTTTCCCTGTATTCCTCTTGAAAATGGTTCTCACGTATGCATTTTCAGACTGAAGGGAGGGAGGTTGATTTTGTGAGGTTTCTCATGTTTCCTCTGCATAAGTTGTATATACTTACAGAAATTGAAGAAAAAAATATTCAAAAAGTATTGAGTTCTTTTGGATTTGGAAGTTATTGTACAGTGCATTGGAAGTTATTGTACGGCTAAGCTATGCCCCCTAGAAGTTATAGTACGTTGGAATTCAGCCAACGCTTTTCTATCTGATTTTAAGTATGGCTAACATCAAAAGAAAAAGTACCGCACCATGACACAAGTAATAATAATTCACACAAAATCTAGATGAAATTAAAAATAAACGCAAGTCTATCATGCCAAAAGAATTCCAAAAATTAGAAAAATCAATGTACGCGTAAGTAATGAAAATTTTTAGAGGAAATACAAAGCATTTTCTTTAAAAAGGCCGGTCGGCAAGAAATAATTTGTTTTAAGGTTGATAGAAAAGTTGATAACACTAGAAAATTTCGTTTTCTTAGCGCATTTATATGGTTATTTTTTGTGTTTGGTCATTGCAATACATGCCACCAACCATTAAACAAAAGTGTTCCAGGAACACTTGTGTCGCCTGCGTTATAGCATCATTTAAGATGCAAATAGATATTATAAAGGTGAACTATTTATTTGTTACTAGAATTATAGTTTATGCATTTGACTGAAAAAAAAAATTCCAAAATAGTAGACTGATTCCAAACATAGTAATTTTGTGATAGAATCAGAAATATGATTTCCCACACCATCAAAGTTTAAATGAATAATGAAATGGAAAGCATTAAAAAAGCTATTTACCTTTTTTAATTTAAGTGTTTAATCCAACAATCCCCCAATAGAGATTTCAGACTGTTTTTACTGTAATTGTCAGTCTGCAACCATCCATTTTGGTATACCGATCCCGATTTATTTTCAAGATAATTAAAATTCAGTTCGTATGGTAAGCTCAGGAACATGTGATATAATTGCTTATTAAAAACCTTCCCCTAAATATTCAAATGGATGATAAATTAACCGTCCAGATTATCAAGGTTAAGTAATCTGTGACGCTGGTATGTTTTTATAATATTTTATGACAAACTGTGGACCTGCTAAAAAGCTGAACTAACCAATAAATCGTCAAAAATATGCTGTATATGAACTATTTTGACACGTAGGTCAAATGTCATGTTCAAGGGTCAAGAGGTCAGTGGAATTTGGTAGTTTACATAAGCCATAATACCGAGCAATACTGAGTATATGTGTAAAATATCAAAACCATACCTCTTACAGTTCTCGAGAAATAAGATGTGGCAGACGGAGAGACAGACAGACATCTAGACAGACACAACAGACGCCGGATAAAGTGATCCGTAAGTGTCGCTCTGCTCTACAGGCGACACAATTAAAGATAAATGAATGAAAAAAAAGTTTATACAGCTGTATAGATGTATCAGAGAAAAATGCTAAATGCTTAACAGATTGCAGTTTAAATATCTGTACGTTTCGAGTTTTATAGAAAAATAAAGGGTATATGAAACTTATTTTAATGTGAATGTTACTGAAACAACAACCAAAAATAGCATACGAACCTGAACAAATATTATGGATTAAGCTGCGAGCAAAACCATATTGTGCTAGGAATCCTAATTTAAAGGAATAAAGAATTTACAGATATTAAATTTCTAAATAATGTGTATTACATTGCATTTACTCTTCGTGTGCTACTTTTTATGCATACCAATTTAAAGTCAACTCTTCATCAAAGTAAATTATAAATTAGAATGCTGTTTTCATCTAAACCGGGTATGTATATACACTGTAGGATATTGTAGGAAAGTTTTGTTTTTTTTTCTAAAATGACTTCATGAACGGAACTTCAAATTATTTAAACACCCTACAAGATCATAGTAATACTTTAATTGAATGAAAATCTAATTAACGTCTCTATGAAATAAAGAAGTTTTATAACGTGGTTAAAACTTGCAAAATATTTTTGTTCTTACCTAAGTCTAGAATATTTCCAGGCTTGAGTACAATATCAAAGGAATCACATATGCATGGGAAATCCATCTACAAAGAAGAAATTTATATCATATATCAGGTGTATTAGGATATAAACCAGGACACATATTTTCTCTTTTAACATATCAATTTCTATATCGTATATAATAATATATTGTATCAAAAAAGTCAACGTGTTACATTGATTTTATGCATCAGGTACTTTGTACATGTATATAAGGATAATATGATTCAATACAATTTTTTTTTTGGGGGGGGGGGTGGGGGGGTTGTTAGCATCATCAATTTCTATACTGTATTAATGTCTCATTATGTCAACATGTTACACTGATTTTATGTATCATATGTTTATACATGTATATACAATACTTTCTATTTCCATTACTGGAACTCTTCAAATTAGAGGCGCGTTTGTTCGTCTGAGTGGGACAATGCGTAGCGGAGAATACAAACATGCCGATCTCAATCCAAGTTTAAATGTTAAATGTATTTGTCATTCCACTTAAAGAATAGAAGAACTACATGTAATAGGCATATGTGAGATTGCGAAAGCCCTGAATGTATCATCCATTGATAAATATTACGACGTTTCTCAGACTGAGGCATGTACACTGTATTCAGAGACGAACCGTCAACACTAAGTCTTGTCAACAACTTCCTGTCAGTGTGGTGAATAAATTAATGATGTTGTTTCTACTTTTGATGCATGCTAAGTTCACAACAATACCTTGTCTCATTTGTATGTTTGTTAAGCTTTTTTTCATCGACATTCAACATACTGTTTAGATTGTCCTAGAAATCCAGCGAGATTTGTACATTTTCCGACTTTTGCACGAAAGAGTGCGCTAAGAACTATAACTTTTCCATATGGAAATAGAAAGCATTGGGAGGTTATCCTATTTAAGTTGTAAAAAAAAAATCGTTTGTTTAATTTTAGAAGTCAGTTCCTAACTTTCTATGTTGGAATTTTACTCCATATAGATTATTTTCATCAACATTTGATCAATGCAACTTCTTTGGAGATTGTTGTTATTCAGATTAGATCACCTTAAATCAACATGCGGAATAAAGTACTGAAGATGGTGAACAGCGATCGCATCACAAATACTCTGAAAAACATAGGACCCCTATGAAACACAAGAGGTGGAATCAGTATGTTAAAGGTGCTTGGACACAGATTTGAAGTTGATATTTTCTCAAATTTTCTGTATAATTTTAACGACTTATATGTTGCTATAGCATTTCATACTAAAATAGAATAAAAATCCTATTTCATCTCGTAGTTATTGAAACTTCAAATTTCTGAACGCGTTTGATTAACACATTCTTGCACTTTCACAAATTTCAATTTTATTTTTAATACTTAAGAAAAGTGGCAATTTTGTTGTGTATTAATGAAAAATATTAAAACTATAATCCAGAAAATTCAGAGTAGAAATGTTCGAAAGCAAAACCCACTCACAGTATTGTCAGTCCGTGCTCAGTGGTGTGTGCAGACTTTAACAATTGAACACACCCGGTGAATCGTAAACATTAACAATAACAGAGCTCGTGTCCTGTTTACAAAAACAGTTTACGTTTCAAGGGTGTATTCAATTTGTTAAACTCTGTACACAACACTGAGCACGGGCTGACAATATTAGTGAGGGGGTTTGCTTTCGCACATTTCTACTCTGAATTTTCTGGATTATAGATGTAATATTTTTCATTAATACACAATCGCTTCTAATCGCTTCTTTTCTTAAATGTTAAGGATAAAGATAAAATTTGTGAAAGTGCAAGGATGTGTTAATCAAACGCGTCCAGGAATTCGTAGTTGCAATAATTTCCAGTTAAAATAAGTTTTTAATTATATTTTCGTGTGAAATGCTATTGGAATATATAAGTCGTGATATTATACAGAAAAATTGAGAAAATGTTAACTTCAAATCTGTGTCTAAGCACCTTTAAGAAAAAGAGTAGGAATCCCTTGTAATGCGGTCCTTAGATCTTTTTATTGTTAAAGTGAAATTCGCATAAAAAATGGTTGAATTTTTTTTTTTTTGCAAAATATTTGTAAAAGTTCGATCCAGGATAAGGTTGAATTTGCCAACGAATTTATTATAAGGACCACGGAATTAATTAAATGGTGGCTTTCGTGTTATCATAACTCTTTAAATCCGTCTAATATCAACTTATGTATTTATAAGTAAACTGTTCTGGTTTAAAAAAAATGGTAGTAAACACGAATGGGGCTGCTGCTTTCTGAATCAGCGGGGAGATATAGACACCATATTCATGTAATAATGGAATAGTGCTACATAAATAATAGAAGTTGACAATGGTAATTGTTTGTTTGTTTGTTTGTTGTTTTTTTTTTTTTTCAATGAAAAAAAAAAAACATTTTGAAAAAAGATAATATTTCGTTTCATAAACTTGAACTAATAATAGTAACATGGACCTTGAATAGGGTAGTATAACTGTTAGTAAATGCCAACATGAGTTTTAGGAAATATTTGAAGCTAAGTAAATAAATAAATACATTATTGGCAGTAAATGTTATACGATGCAAAATTCTAAGTAAAGCTATAAATTAACGACTCACTTTACACTAGCGAAAACTAATTTTGGTCACTGAGAAAATTATTTAATGAAAAAGTGTAAATTTTGAGTCTTCAAAGACAACAAAGTATTGATAAATAGAAATCACTAGTTCTTAATTAGATGGAGAAAATACACAAAACTAAAGTGGTTCATAAAATTATATATGATAATATGTTAAAAATGCATAAATTGGTTACAAATTGTCAATGAGCAATTCACTGCATATCATAATTTATTTCAAATTACAAGTTTCTAGTTGCCTAAAAAAATTCTAAAAAGTGTCTTTACCCAAGCTTTTTAACCTTTTTTTCTTATGTAAACTTTAACGTTTGTCCCTTACATGTATATACCCATCTTTCTGTGTTTTCTTACGAAAGCGTATTACTGCCAATTGAAAAAAAAATGTTCTAAGTCGTATGTACGAGATACTACATGTAAGTCGTACGTATGAGATACTAAGTCGTACGTACGAGATTATATGTTGTTATCAAGATTTGTTTATAATTTTATGAAGCATCAAGTATGGACGGCGTAAAAACAGTTGTTGTGCTTGTGAAGTTTATTCTTGTTAGGATTTTACCACTGTGACAACAAAATGATTTTCCGGGAAAATCGCGTTTGAAAATCAAAGTTTCGTTGTCAAGTTATTTTTTACAATATATATTTCTAAATATTTCAGATTTGAATTTAGAACCTAAATTTCATATAAGCAATTTTATGATTAACCTTGCTTCAAAGTTATTTAAAAGAGGGTATTCATGGTAAAAAAAAAGTCTATTTTTGCATGAATATTGACTAAGAAGTCCGATCCAAAGCAGGCCTCCCAACCCCAACCTCCCCCCTCCCAACCCAACCCCCCACCCCCTCATATTTTGATAGGTTTAGATCTAAGGAATATTTATGAATAAAACTTTTCAGGGGTACCGATGGGGTTGAAATGTACAAAAAACCCAAAAATGCAAAATCATAATTCTGTAATCGTGGTTTATATTTATGCTTAATGTCGTTTTAATTAGAAAAGCTCGGATGGTTTGAGACTGACATTGAACATTTTTATAGTGGCCTGGTTCAAATCACCTGGTGGCACACGTCAGTTTACTTTTATAAAAACAGTATTGTGTATTTCTCTTCTATTTTCTTCCATAATTTTTCTTTCCTTTTGAGAAAAACGACGTTTATGACAATGCAGATCATAAATATTATTAAACTAAAAATAAAAACAAACAATTGGAACTATTCTAGAGTGTAAGCACATTTTTTCTGAGGACAAGAATTATTCACTCTTTCTTACTCGATACAGGAGTCACACAAATACACTCACGCCCCCCCCCCTCCCTAAAAAAAAAAAACAAAACAAAAAAAACAAAAAAACAAAACAAAACAAAACAAAAAAACAAATGACATGTAGTTGATCCTATACATCTTAACTCGGAAAAGTTTCTTACCAAATCAACCAAAATGAAATCGCACAAATCGGTGATATGAGGAACAGACTATCGTCAAGATTTGATTTTAGGAAGAGTATAAATCTATTAATTTATAAAAGATAACTTTTTTCTAACAGGTCTTACGTGTATGATCAGATTGAAGATCTGGGGGCCGTAACAGAAAGCAGGTTATTAAGATTTCAATTGACTTAAAGCAGGCGGGTCACAAGTCTAAAATATATGAAAATTTTCTTTATCAAATAAAGAAGCTGTCAACTATTATTTGATAAAGAAAAAATTCATATATTTTAGCTTTTAAATTTTATCATTTTTCTTTATCTTTATATGGAGCTCTTCTTCTTCTTAAGGAAAGCAATATAGTCTAAAAATGGCCATGCCCCCCAGCCCTCTTAAGAGATTGAACTGTTCATATCTATATTCAATATATAGCCAAAATTTTAAGTTAAAAGGGGCCGAAATTCCCAAAAATAAAGAAATTTCTAGGTAATATATGTACATCTAAATATTGTGTCCTAATTACCTATAAGGTTTCATGAAATTCTATGCAGCGGTTTAAGAAGAATTATGCTTATAAAGAAATAAAAATAAATAATAAATAAATAAAGAGGACTGACGGACAAACTGACGGGTTAAAAACATTATACCACTCGTAACTTGTTATAAACTTTGAGTTATTCCTGTTCGCTCCCTGGGGAGCATAGGGCCGCAACCACACTGTGCCATCGGACTCTGTTTTGGGCTGTTTTTTAATTGGATCCAGGTAAAACCTGCCTCTTTTGACTCCATGTTGTTATAAAAGTAATTTATAATTTTTATCCTACATTTAAACACTGTTTCTAGACGATATCCTAAATAGCCTTTTACTCTTAATAATACGATTTTAAGGCCGAAATTAATTAGGCTTTAAAAATAGGCAAGGTCATATGTCAAGGCAATATACTTTATTGCATAAAATCGTTATCCCTCCTATTCTATAATTTGTGAATTGTAACAAACTAACAGTTTTACAGATAAATAAAAAATGAAATATATAAAATCCCGAGTTCGAATCCTGCAAGGAAATTTGTCTGACAGTGTATTTAATGAATACGATTTTTAAAAACCGCACTTTTATCTAAAAAAAATTGTTTTTTTTTTTTTTTTTTTTTTTTGTTTTTTTTTTTTGTTTTGTTTTGTTTTGTTTTGTTTTGTTTTTTTTTTTTGTTTTTTTTTTTTTGTTTTTTTTTTTTTTTTTTGCTTATTTGACTTGTGTACATTTTATGCATCATGCTATCTTTCAACAAATCTTGAAAACTACATATTTCGTACGCACGACTTAGTATCTCGTTCGTACGACATAATTTCTCGTACGTTGGATTTAGTGTCTCGTACGTACGGCTTAGTATCTTGTACGTACGACATAATTTCTCGTACATACGACTTAGTATTATCTCGTACGTACGACTTAGTATCACGTACGTACAACATATAATCTCGTTACGTACGTACGACTTAGGAAAAAAAACCCAAATGGCAGCAATACGCTTCCGTAGTTTTTCCACTTTGTTACAATTTCTTTTTTTTTCTTTTTGGCCACTGAAGAAAAAGAAAAATACTAGGGATGTCAGAATGAGTATTTTTTCATTTTTGATTTGTACTTTTTGAATAATATTTGATAATTCGAAGTTTCATTACCACTGTCAGGAACCTTTTGTTTAATTTTTGAACAAAAAAATATGTTCAAGCTAACATAACATTGGAACTTGGTTGTTCTTGAAAATGATACACTGAACAACATATTGCAAGTTGTCGCAAAGTACATTTACATTAATCAGCATTTTCACTTACTTTATTTAGATGACAGTTTGAGTATGGTGTATTTTTTTTTTTTTTTTTTTTTTTTGACGACAGGGAGTTGGGATGTGTGATTTCTTTCCCTGAGTGAATTTATACTAAGACCCTTTGTAAAAACAGAATCAAATGTCTGCGGAATTTTAACCTTGAATTTTGAAAGGGATAATCCTATTTGGTGCATTCTGTGCATTGTAGGTTGGTAACTGTACAGCGAAGAAAATTTTTAACGCTGGATGCTCGAATTCATGAAATTTAATAAGCGTATATGATTCATGTGTCAGTCGGAGTTTAAAAATCACCTATGCTGATCACGATAGAATTACACTAAAATTGACATGCATGCTGTACATGTAATTACATGTACTTCTCTCTTTCTCCTTAATCTTATTATTTATTTGACATGATTTCCTATGAAATAGTTACGTATGAAAGACTTTTAATATTCTGCATGTATTATGACACTTGCAACATTTGTCATTAAAAACATGAAATTAAAAGGAAGCAAATGTTGATCATCAGAATCCAATCAGCAGTGTCGCTTTTGGTGGATGTAAATAACTCCCTCTTTTTTGTACAAGCAATGCATAGAGTTTTTACTGTTTTGTCCTTCACAAGAAAGACAAACAGGATTGGGCAAACTGTGAGGTATTTATTTTCAAATTTTTTTTATAACCAGCTCTTGTTGACATTATGCACATGGCAAAATCATTATTTCAATGAATTATATCCATTTTATTAGAAGGGGGCGTCCTCGATTTATCTCCAACGAGCATATATCTCTTATCCATATTTATCTCCAACGAGCATTTATGTCTTCTCTCTCTTTCTTGCTCCATATAAAAACTTCACATAGTATATTAACCGAAAGTAGAAGAAAAGTTTTAAACAAGGCTCAATATTACCTTATTTATTTGACATAAATCCAGTCCTTTTATTCAAAAAGCAATCAACATCAGTATCAATGTTCAACTATCGTTATGCTTCAGTAGTTATGTATAACTAGCTATTGTTATGGTCGACTTTTAGAACACTGCATAACGCAATATTCTAGAGTGCATCATAATTAGCCAGCAGAGCGATAGTTATTTATAAGGCCATATTCACTGATTAACATTGATCATTTCTTAAATAAAACTAACTTCAACGTTTAAGTCAGGTACATGTAGTACAACTAAAAAATATACCACCAATATTGGCAACATTGGCCTGGGGATATATTTGAAAGTAAATAATTAAAGAATGTATAACCTTCTTTGCAGACAAGTTTAGCGAAAGGTATTTCTAAATTAAGATATAAACATGTAATGACCGCTCTATTTACTTATGAAAAATATTATTTGGGCAATTTCTTAATCGGAAGTTGTAATCATTGAGGTAATCATCTTCTTTATCAGAAAAAAAAACCCGTTTACATTACTTTCTTAGCATGACCGGCTAGTGATTGCGTCTTTTAGCTAGGCCGTTAGGACAAGGGTTGCTATACCTCAAACAAAGAGATCTCTCTGATATTCCGAACTCTTGAATGTGATCATGGTCACATGGCGTGTATGTCAGTTTTGAAACTCAAGAACCGCACTGTGTTCACGGCAGATGATGTAACTTATCCAAATTTTGCGCCAGAATTAATATGTATACATTGATTATTTTGGTATTCACTTCTTTTTGCGTGACCCTGAGGTCTGGCAGAAAATCTATAAGCGAGGTTAAACCAGATGTTACAGGGAAAGACCAGCTTGTGCATGCTCCAGAATATTAGACAAATTGCAGGCCCGTAGGAAACAATTTCAGTTTTGGGGCGGGGGGGGGGGGGGCACAACCATACATTTTCAGTTGAGGGAGCACCCAAAAATTCCCGACCAGTAAAAAAAAAGGGTCATCAACTACCAAAATTCCTTGACAACCAAAAGAAAGAAAAGAAAAGAAAAAGGTCATCAGACGTGCCCCATCCCCCACCCCCCGGTTCCTACGGCCATGAATTGTCCCGACGACTACTCGCTCGTCGGACGAATAGCCGAACTCGAATTTAAAAAGTTTTCCCACCATCCACCATATCGGTACAATTCAAAACCTTTTAATCTGCAGAATAAAAGTGCTTGATATCGTATTTATTTATCTAATAGCGTATCCAAGGTCCGAATCCCCTCTTAGATACAATTAATTAGTAAATAAAAATAGTTCTTCATGTTCTAATACAATATAGTTTATCAATCCAATCAGCGTCGATTTCAGCGGAAGTATATTACATGTAGCACTCTCTCTTTGTGTAGAACGCGTGCATATAGTTTTACAGTTTTTGACCTTCACTAAACAGACACGACAGCAGGAGTGGGCAAACAGTGAGGTATTTATCTATTTAGATACTATTTTTTTCTAGAGCCGGCCCTTGTTAATATTATGTAATCATGTACATAATTTAACAATATTTCATGAATTATACCAATTTCATAAGGTGGGAATGTCCTGGGTTTTTTTTATTTACCAAAAACACATGCCTCTTCAGCCATAACTCTATAATGCACTCTCTCTCTCTCTCTCTCTCTTTCTGCTTAAATATTTTATATGGTATAAACCGAAAGAAGAACAAAGGATGTAAAAAATGCTCAAAATTACCTTATTTCCTTCGAACCAATGAAGTCCTGTGATTCAATTGGAGTAAAATATTCTCCTGAAGCATTCCTTCAAAATCCAATACTTTTATATATTTGTTTTGAAGAAAATTAAAAGAAAGTATCATTCACGTTGCCTGCATTAGTACGAGGCTAAAAGAAAGATAACTGGTACAATGAAGCATACTTCCGTTTTAAGTGGTGCCTGAATTCAATGGTAAAAATTGTTTCCATAACTTCTTTGCCCTTGAAATTTCACCCTCTATGTATCTATTTGTAACAATCCAGAGAAAGAAAATATTTTTTGAATATAAAGGACAGGTATGTCAAAAAGGAGATACAATTGTCCAAAATAATTCAACAACAAGAGGCCCATGGGCCATATCGCTCACCTGAGCACTTTGATTGGAAAAAAAAAAAACAAACAAAAATCAGTTCAGTATTGAAAAGTTGAAATACATGTATATAAGTGGTCCCTACCTATTGCCATCGGGGGGTCATGGTTTGAACAAATTTGAATTAACACTACCGGATGATGCTTCTTTATTAAAATGCTCATCATGGCTTTCCTGTTCTTTAGAAGAACAATTTAAAGATAGTTACTCTATACTTTCATGGAAAACTTTGATCGCTCATTGTTGCCCCATTCTTCCCCCCTGGGTCCTGATTTGACAGACTGAGTTCTACACTACCTGAGGATGTTTCCACATAAGTACATGCATCATCTTCAGACCTGCTTACCCTTCCGCTTTTGGCGTAATTTTTCCGCTTTTTACCACAAAATTACGCTGTTACGCCATGAAAACTAATTTTACGCTTTTAAATATTTTTTCATAAACAACTTAATGAAAGGCTAACTTTGGAGTTAAAGTAAAGGCTTTCCTTAATGAAAACGAGAAGGTAATTAATACTTATTAATAGAGGGTTTCGGTTTTTCACGATATGATTATTTACGATACAAACAACATACGTAATACACGTTGTAGTTATGCCTTTTAAACGGGTGGCATGCCAAAATTAAGGAAACAAAACTTTTGAATGATGTGTGCAATAAGCAAAGTCAGTTTAATTTTCAATTCGGTTTATTCTTACATTGCTAAGAACAACATAGAGACAAGTAAATGTAAGAAAAACAAAATCGAAATAGCGGAATAATGTAGAATTTGTATTAATATGCGACTGAAACTCTGAATTATGTGATTTGCTAATTTTTTTTCCAAACGTTCATTAGGAATGTTAGATAAATAAGTTTGATTTGACTGCAATTAGGATACCAGTTTTTACAACAAAGGGACTTTTTGTCTATAAATGATTTGAAAAAGAAACATTCATGCTTGCTTTGTTCAATGATGTACAATTTCAGGTTGATTCAGACAATATAGTATCATTGCAAAACATCAAAGTAGGGAAACATAAAGGATTACGCCTTTACCTCATAAATTCCACTTAATTGAGTCTTGAAATTACACCCTCGCAATGAAAAGGGTAGGCAGGTCTGCATCTTCCCTGGCTAAAGAGAGGACAAGTTTCCAAAGATGGCATTTGTTTTTCACGAATTCGTAATTATACGCCCTTGGAAAAAGGCGTGGCCTTTCAATTAAATATTCTAAATTCTCTTTACTTTAAGGATTCGGCTCAGGTGAACTTCATCTCTAACCCTTAGGAAGATTGAAAACCAAGTGGGGATTGTGGTCTGGCTCTCTGTGATCACATGGTCACTTTGATAAAGTATAAAACAACTAAATGCTGGCTTTTACCAACTAATCTATGGTCTCCATGACTTTACCTAATAATTATACGTCAATTGTCAATCATGACACAATATACACTGTACAATTGGCTATTTCGCTACATAAACAATCTTTATGGCAATCTTTTATACTGCTTTACAGACAAGAAATCGACTTTGAGCATGCTTTGCTTATTTGAACCAAATATTCATTTTTATTTTGTTTTTTTAAGTATAACATTCTTTCTTGTATTCTCATTATACAGTTATTGACTGGGTATGAGGGCAACATATGATTTGTTGGACCTGAAGGTTAAAATGTTGCCCGAGGCCGCATGCCGAGGGCAACATTTTCACCCTCAGGTCCAACAAATCATATGTTGCCCGAATCCCAGTCTATATAACTGTTTTGTTATACCCTTCACATAAGATAAATACATATTAAAACACTAAAGCAAAGATTTCACAACAGATTTAATCAGTTTATAAACAATAATTTCATAAGCACATTGTGGCTTAAACAATAAAAAAATTAACAAAGAATGAAAAAATTAATTATGTAATTATTATAACAGAGAAATTATATAATTAAATAACAGAAATAATCATTTTCTTTAATCAAAGTTTAATAATCACTTTGGTTATTACAATCATTTATCACACGGAATATATCACAGGTTATTTATAACTGAGCCTCTGTACTGGATGAATAATTGTTAATTGTAACAGTACAGCCATGAAAGTTATAGGACATTGCAGTGGACACTGCAGACTTTGGAAATTCTGGAACATTTGCATAGATGGTAGGGTCATCTAGAACTGCTGCCAGTGCCTCATCATCAATATCACCGAGCCAGTCGATGGACTCCAACAATTGTTGTACGATTTCGTTCGTGGCCCCGGGGCCTGTATTTGAGATTGGTTGGACAGTCGTAGAAGATGAAGGTCCAAATGAATATGTGATGGGTTGAACACTTGATGATAAAGGCCTTGATGGATATACTTCTGAACTATGAAATTTTGACTCATGTATTTTCCTGCTCAAAGCATCTGGCATTTCTCTTTTACGTTTTTTGCTCAATTTTTAGGGATAAAATTTTAGACTTGTCTCAGACTTGTGCTTTGATATCCCCATGATATGTCTAGATTCATATCCTGATTCGTCCAAGATTGTAATACATGTGGCTCTAATCGAATGATTAGTGTATACTGTGGTGAGTTTTGCCTCTCTGTTGATTATCTGCATAAATTTCCCAAGTGTATTCTTGCCCACTGCCATATTGTCATACCACAGGTCAAGGTTATCAGGGTCAAATGATGTTGGCAGGGATTTTGGTATTTGCCACAATGACTTGCGTTCTGGATTCAGTTTTTAATGTATTTTTTAAAGCTTGCCACTGGACAGTTGGGGTTTCCTAAAATGATTTTGAAAAATAATATAGCGCTTATATGGTTTTTCCAAAATAGATTGATTAAAATGTTTTTTTTTTAAATATTTGGAATAATAACAAGAATAATCTACATACCAGATTGTTCATACATGCGAGCAGCATTGATATCATCATCCCTTGAGTCTCCCCTGTGGTTTTTTGTGAGTCTGGATACATTACTAACAACAAAACGCCTTCCATCCACATCCGCATTAATGACGTAATCATCCTTTCCCATGTTCCTGAGGTTTTCTCGCCCTCTGTTACAAAAATATAACATTATTTCGAAAAAAAAATTTCCTGCAAAGTCTTGGGATTATCTACACTAAACACACCACAATCATATTGTTTTTGTATGTCTCCATCACTAATGATATCTTTATGTTTTACTTCTCCAGTCCCCTCGTGCTTAATTTTCACAAGACAAGCTGAAAACACAACATTTGCTCGACTAAATTCTTCATTGTTTACAATGTCAATGTCATTTGATCATTTCATGAATGACTTTTGAAGTCCAAACCTCATGGATATCATCGAAGACTTTGCGTACATCGATCCATCTTGTTTCCGAACTCCACAGTAGAATTTCTCCAGTACATTGCAGATTTCGATTTTAAGCGTAATTCCGAGAGAGAAGAATCACATGTACACACTAAAAAATCGTTCAAAATGTTTTCAGCTGATCGTATAACGTTCTTGATGTTTTTACTGTCTCTTTCATTAAGTATACATTCAATTTCACGTTCGTCTGTAGCGGGAAACCATCTTTCTAGCAAACGACAACTCTTGCAGCACTGAACTTCGGTTATTTCCGTGTCGCCGAAATTGACCGACAATTGCCTGTGACGTAGCTGTGACGTTGCGGTCAAATAATTCTTATGTTAGACTGACAGACCGGTCAACAATGAGATTGTTAGACCGATGAAAAAAACATTTACTTTGTTGGACTTTTTATTTGTAATAAATATATACAAAGATATTTATAAGGGTATAACAATGAATCATATACATGTAACCTGTTGATTAAATCATATAAATACATTTCTTGATTAATACAATTTAGCAAAGTGGAATAACTCTAATTTGCTACACTTATTACAATTTTGAGCTCCCTTTGCCTCCTAGATACCCAGGAACAGAGAAGAGGCACATTTATTTATATTTATTTATTTACCTTAATATTATTGCATTGAGTTTGTTTGCTTAATTCTCGAGCAGAGGAGAAGATTTTTAAAGCATGAATGCATTTTTGCTAGAAAGTCAACAGAACCCCACCCCAGCACCAGAATCCCTGACTCTTTTGTTCCCCTTCACCTATAGATGTTATCTGCCAAAATCGGTTAAAATTGGTTCAGAAGTTCCAGAAAAGAAGCTGAAAAGGTTCTAAAATTCACGACAGACAAACGGCAAACGACGGACGAAATCAGATAGCAACAGGTCACCTAAATGACTCAGTAGACCTAAAATCTTTTTTAGCTCACCTGAGCCGAAGGCTCAAGTGAGCTTTTCTGATCAAAATTTGTCCGTTGTCTGTCGTCGTCGGCGTCGTCGTCGGCGTCGTTGTTGTCGTAAACTTTTCACATTTTCATCTTCTTCTATAGAACTACTGGGCCAATATCAATCAAACGTGGCACAAAGTATCCTTGGGTGAAGGGAATTCAAATTTGTTCAAATGAAGGGCCACGCCCTCCTCCAAGGGGAGATAATTACGAAATAGCAAAAAATTAATGGCATTATTGAAAAATCTTCTTCTCAAGAACCAATGGACCAGGAAAGATGAAACTCATGTGGAATTATTGTCAGGTAGTGTAGATTCAGATTTGTTCAAATCATGGCCCCCGGGGGTAGGGTGGGGCCACAATGGACGATCAAAGTTTTACATAGGTGTACAGTGTATATAGGAAAAATCTTCAAAAATCTTCTTCTCAAGAACAGCAAAGCAGTGAATGGTAATA